GAAGAGAGACAGACAGAGAGAGAGAGAGAGAGAAAGAGAGAGAGATAAGAAAGAGAGAGAAGAGAGAGACAGGGAGAGAGAGAGACAGAGAGAAACGAGACAGAGAGAGAGAAGAGAAGAGAGAAAGAGAGAGAGTTGAGACTTTATACGTCCTTTCTCCTCTCCCACATCGTCCTCCCTCCTGCTCTGGCAAACAGCACTCTGATGCTCCTGCTGCCCCCCCCCCACCCCCCCACCCCCCCGGAGACCGTGGAGAAATCTGGAAGAGAGGAGAGCCGGAGAGAGAAACACACGGGAGCGAGAGGGATGCTGATGATTTAAAAAGTCCTTTCCGCCTCTCTTCCTCCTCTCTTTACTGGGAAAGATGAAAGCTGGAGCGCTGGAAGAAGCCGGCTGAAGGGAGAGGAAAGGAAGGATTCCTGAAGAAGGGGGGGATTTGTTGGTAAGAGAAGCCCCGCACACCACTTTTTTTCTCTGTCTGTCTATATTGGCTTTACAAGTCACCTGTCCTTGCCAGCACTGTGAATTATGGGATAGCAGGTAAACAGGGATCTGGTCTGTATGTTTTATATATATATATGTGTGTGTGTGTGTGGGTGAGACAGAGAGAAAGACAGATTCTCTGCATGCTGCGTGGCTGTAGAGGGGGTTTGGTGTTACTGTATGAAACCTACATTACAGTGGATGCCTGTTTTACAGTATCAGTTATGCAAAAAAGCTTTAGCTGAGTCAAGAGCTGCTGGTGTGTATGGGACTATAGGAGCCAGAGCGATTAAAATGACACTGTCCATATGAGCTGTATCAGTCATTTCAGGGCTACTGTTACAGCTGAGGCTAGGATTTTTGGACTTGTCTACTGTATCTGCATAGGAGGAGGAGTATTAATTACATAACGCTCCATCTATACTCCTGTATCAGGGCTGTGCAGCATCGTACTGTCCCACTAGTCCAGAAATCCTTCACTGCTACAATCGTTTTGAAAGAGTGTGGCTGTTTTCTACGGTAACCTAGAAAGACATAAAGACTCTGAACTTCTGTGTGGAGGAATCCATCTGTCTGTTTGTATTTATGCCTCAATTGGAGAGTTTTACAGCGCTTCGTTGGTGTGGGCAGATGTGTGAGTTAACAAGTGGGCAGGTGTAAAAACTCTTAATCCCCTACGTCTTGTTAGAATCTGAAAATATCTTCTTTTTTTTTAAAAAGACAATGAGAAACAGGTCATGCCTTGGGTTGAGTTCGCTCTAAGTGCGTGGCATTCGTGCCAGCCCTCTGTGCCATCAGGATTCCCTAAAAACATCCATTAGTAACCTCGGGGTCAAGCGACAGCCGGCTCTTCCGTGCCCTCAGGACTCACTCTGTGAGCACAATCGGGGACTTGGCTTTCTGCTCGGCTGCTCTCCTGCTGAGAGTCCTCTGCCCGACCACCTGAGGACGGCTCAAACACTTCCAGCCTGTTTTACATCAGTGTGTAAAAACTTTCATCTGCAGGAAGTCGTTTTTCTTAATTGTTTTAGGGAATGTTTTTGTCCTCCTGTTGGGTACTTTGAGATTGGAGTTTGACTGACTTGATATAGACCCAAATATCAAAAAATGTGATTCAGTGAAAATTAGATTTAGAAGTGAAGAACCGTGAATGGAACAAATGGTATTATTTGGCTCTAGAGTTGAGACCTCCCTGCTGTCAGATAGAAAGTTACAGATGTGTAATGGAAGTTTCTTACCTACTTTTGTGAAAGAAGAAGTCTTAAATAATATCACAGGTTTCAGAAGGCTCACGTTAAATCCAATATATAAGTAGTTTTGGACTATTCTTGCATGTCTTGATCGTCAGTAACTGGCAACTATTTTGATAATCAAAATATTTCAGGCATTTTTCAAGTAAAAATGCTAAATATTCACCTGTTCTAGCTTTTCAAATGTGAGGAATTCTGTTAAGATCTTTAAGTTTTAGCATATTAGTTGGATAAAACAACTATTTGAATCTGTCACATTGAGATCTGGAAAATTATAATCCCTATTTTTCAGTGTTTCCTGACATTTTATACATAAAACGATCAATTGATTTATTGAGAACATAATCAGCCGACAATCGAATAATTGTTAGTTACAACACTATAGACATACAACGTTTCAGCATCTGTATAACAGATCTTTGCCCTGGTTTATCAGTCTCTTTAAATACAGAGTGAAGAATGTAGTTTACCCATTTCATTGACCCTACTCACTTCTTTTAAAGCATAATCCAACCAGTGTGTCCCACATCAACATCTGAAGTAATGTTAGAGACTCATTTAAAAAAAATAGAGCAACACGCAACAAAAACTAAAGCTAAGCACTAGAAAGCATGTTTGCACACCACTGCCCTTAATGGCATGCAA